TTAAAAAAAAAAAAAGAAAGAAAAAAGGAGAATCATTGATCGGCTGCCTCCAGCACGCCTTCTAGGAGGTGAGAGAGAGGAGCCCGCAACCTGGCATGTGCCCTTGACCTGAATCGAACCCGGGACCCTTCAGTCCATAGGTCGATGCTCTATCCACCTGAGCCTCACCGGGTAGGGCTGCCTCGCAGTCTAGATCTCAGAGCTGCAAGTACAGGCACACCTGCTGCCACTCCCAATCGGCAGAGCCCAGAACATATAAGGGTAAGCGAAAATAGGGCCCAGCATTTCGTCCCCTTTGTCCCCACATGCGGCACACTGAATGTCAGTCCCTTCCCGGCCACAGGCAGGTGTTGGCCAGGGCCCCGGGGAAGAGGGAGTCCAGTGCCACAGGGAGCTGGACAGGGGGCTGGGGCCCGGGTGTCCGGGGGCCTTTCCTGCTCTGGGCCCCAGCCTCGTCCTCGAGGACTTGGAGGGGAAAGTGAGTCTCCTTACACCGACCATCTCACCGAGAAGCGTCCCTAAGCCCTCCGAGGCGGCCCTCAGTGCTTAGAATTCCAAGCGCCTGGTCCCCTGGGGGCTGGGAACCAGGGGAGGGAGGGGCTTGCTCACGGGAAGGCAGAGTTGAGGGCGGTAGGTACCAGGATCAGAGCAGTAACTCAAAAATGCTGAGTGAATGAAGGCCAGCAGGGGGGCCTTTCGCAGGAGCCCCTGCCGCTGCCCCCACCCGCTTCAGCGGGCCCTGCCCTCGGCTCAGGCTGCCCTGGGACAGGCGTCCTGGCCACTCCCTCACCACCCCAGGGTGAGAATTCCCCCTTCGCAGGGTAGCTGGGGGGCTCAGGAAACAGCTCTGTGACCGCTGCTGTCTTCCTTCCTTCCTTCCTTCTGTAGGAGGGAAGTGAGGGGCAGGCAGCTCATGCAACAGCTTTTCCTTTAAAAAAAAAATATATATATATATATATATTTTTTTTTTTTTTTGATTGATTTCAGAGAGGAAGGGAGGAGAGAGATAGAAGCATCAATGATGAGAGAGAATCATTGCTCGGATGCCTCCTGCACGCCCCCTACTGGGCATCGAGCCCACCATCCAGGCATGTGCCCTTGACTGGAATCAAACCCGGGACCCTTCAGTCCGCAGCCCACCTCTATCCACTGAGCCACACTGGCGAGGGCCATGGAACAGCCCTTTCAAACTCCAGGGCGTGCGAGCCGACGTTCTCACCTGCCCCCTACAGCACAGAGGCCAGGCCCGCACAGGCCCCGCACGGCGGTGCTGAAAACCTGACCGTCGACGTTCAATTCTCGGTTTATCCATTTTCCATTTTAATAACGCATGTGGGGAAGTTAGTGTCCAATGGGAATGGTCTCCGCTTGGCATCATGATGCGCTGGAGGTGGTGTGTGTGTGGGGGGAGGGGGGTGGTCGCACGGTGTCATGTACTTGCCACTGAACTGCACAGTAAAAATGGTTAGAATGGCCCTAACCGGTTTGGTTCAGTGGATAGAGCGTCGGCCTGCGGACTGAAGGGTCCCAGGTTCGATTCCGGTCAAGGGCATGTACCTTGGTTGCGGGCACATCCCCAGTAGGGGGTGTGCAGGAAGCAGCTGATCGATGTTTCTCTCTCATTGATGTTTCTAACTCTCTATCCCTCTCCCTTCCTCTCTTTAAAAAATTAATAAAATATTTTTTACAAAATGGTTAGAATGCTAAGTTTTGTGATGTATATTTTACCACTTCTTTTTCGTTTGGCTCAGTGGATGGAGCATCAGCCCGCAAACTGAAGGGTCCCGGGTCCAATTCTGGTCCAGGCCACGTACCTGGGTTGCCGGCTCAATCCCCGGCCCTGGTTGGGGCAGTTGCGGGAGGCAACCAATCGATGTGTCCCTCTCACATGGAAGTTTCTCTCCCTGTGTCTCCCCCTCCCTTCCACTCTCTCTAAGAATCAATGGGAGAATATCCTCAGTGAGGATTAACAACAGCCAAGTCCACAGTGAATTGCAAAGCACGCGGTCATGAGGAGGCTCCACCCGTAGCGACCCCACGTTACAAACTGTGGGTCGGGGGGCCAGGAGGCCCGGAGGAGAAAACGGGGAGTGGGGGGGAGCTGGGGCCCTGGGGAAGGAGCCGAGAGGGAAGAGGTGGGGAGCCTCCGGAGAGAGGCCTGGATTAGACAAAAGCCAGCAGGGGGAGGAGAAGGGAAGTCCTAGGGCCAAGGCAGAGGGAGCCGGGCCAGCTGGCTGGCGGGCTGGGCGTGTATTCCCTGGAATTGTGCTGGACCCGCAGAGCACATGCTGGCATCCCACCCCTTCTCGCAGGCGGCCCTCAGGCACAGATGCAGAGCGGGCAGCCCGGTGAGCAAACAGGACTGGGCCTGGACTTGATTGTTCCTCTACCGGACACCCTCAGAGGCCCGGCCCAGCCCTCTTTTCTGTAAGAAGGCCAGGAGGGCCAGACCCCGCCCACCACGACGGACAATCCTCATGACGGCCCCAGAGGCTCCAACAGCTAAACAAATGCGGGACCCAAACACTTGTGACCAGCCCCCCTGCTACCACCCTGGTATGTTTTCTGAGCAGAAGCAACCACCACCCCAATCAGCCGCCCTGAAGAATGAACAGCCAGGGCGCCAGCTAAAACCCGCCAGCCTGCGCCACGGCTCAGCACCCTGCCACTGCGTCCTGTCCCCTCAGACTGTGTGGTGAGGGTCTCATCTGGGAAGCCCAGGAGGTCATAAGGTTCTGTTCCCGGTCAGGGCACATGCCCAGGTTGCAGGCTCGGTCCCCAGTGCGGGGCGTGAGGGAGGCAGCCGATCAATGATTCCCTCATCATTGATATTTCTCTCCCTCCCTCTCCCTTCTCTCTGAAATCAATAAATATATATATCTATTTTTTAAAAGAACTAGCCCAGCTGGTGTGGCACAGTGGTTGAGCGTTGAACCATGAGGTCACAGGTTCGATTCCCGGTCAGGGCACATGCCCGGGGTGCAGATTCAATCCCAAGTGGGGGTGGGGGGGGCATGCAGGAGGCAACCGATTGATGTTCTCTCTCATCCATGTTTCTCTTCCTCCCTCTCCCTTCCTCTCACTCAAATCAATAAAAACACATTAAAAAAAAGAGAAAAAAAACTCATCCGGCCTGGAAGTCGGCCTTTGCCCTCAGCTGCTGGGCGGTGATCTCCAGGCCGGGAATGTCCTGACTGGGGACTTCAGACCTGCCTGGCACTGTGATTTATGATGAGGCTCGGGACACGCTGTCTCCGGAGGACTAAAGGTTTTAGCCTGGACTCTGGGAGGGGCTGGGGGTTAAAGGTCAGCCGTGGGAGCGAGCAGGATGTGATTAAGCCCCAAGAACACTCCGGAGGCCAAAGGCTGGGGGGCGCCCCTGCTGGGCCAGTGCTATATGCCGGGTCTGGGATCCGGGGCTCCCTGGGAGGAGCTTCATGTTAGGATTCCGCCCTGCGCACTGCGCACCCCGCCCTGGGGCCAGTTCGAACACGCATCCTCTCGCTGTAAAGCTAATCTCAGTGCTTATGGGGTTCTGTGCGTCGTTCCCGCAATGAGCCACTGAAGGTCAGGAGCCGGCAGCTGGTGTCTGAGGGGAGGGCAGCCTGGGGGAGCGTGCCCTCACCGTGCAGGTTGCCCAACTCTGCAGCTGCTGTGACCACCCCTTGCCAACTAGACCTCACCGCTTGCCTCTTCCCTCCTCCTCGTTCCTCAGTGCCAGGCACGCTCCCAGCCCAGGCCCCTGGCAAGCTGCTGCCCCATATCCCTGCCTAGTTATTTCAGGCCCTTTATTCAAATGTCATGTCCTTGGTGAGGCCTCCCTAGCTCCCACCCCAAACACCCACCTCTCCTCCTGCTTACTTTTTCCTCTTTGACAACTATCACCATACTCTAAAGTTTATTCATCTTACTTTTTTTTAAAATATATTTTTATTGATTTCACAGAGGAAGGGAGAGGGAGACAGAAACATTAATGATGAGAATCACTGATCAGCTGCCTCCTGAAAGTGCCCCCTACTAGGGCTTGAGTCCACAACCCAGGCATGTGCCCTTGACCAGAATCGAAACTGGGACCCTTCAGTTCGCGGGCCAATGCTCTATCCACTGAGCACACTAGCCAGGGCCATTTAATCTGCCTCGCCAGGATCTAAGCCCCAAGGGATGGGGATTTTTGAACTTTGCTCCCTCCTGTACTCCAGGACCCAGAACGCTTCCTGGCACATGCTGAGTGTGCAATCAAGTCCTACAGGCCGCCCCACTCCCACTCTACCCGCTGAAAGGCTAAGTCTGCAAAAACAGGAAAACGGACCACACTGAGCTGGAGACCCGTTGCCGAGGGAGAGCCAGCCAGACCGAGACCGCCAGGAGAGCACGCCCAGCTGGGGAGGCCGGGTGCTAGCCCCAGCCGACACCTCCCTGCTCCGACTGGCAGGCCCTTCCTGTCTGGGCTGGCAGATGGATGAAACTCTCAGACCCCGATCATAACAGAAGGTGGAGGGAAGACAAGACCTCACTAGGCAGGGGTGACTTTTATTTGAAGCCAGAAAACACCCTATTGGGGGTTCATCTGTGACAGTAAAAAAAAAAAAAGGAGAGAAACCAGAACCCTAAGGGCCTGGGGAGGGGAGGAGAAGGGAGGGGAGGGGAGGGGCAGGGCGGTGTGTCCCAGCAGGCCCACAGATCAGGCCACGTAGGGGAAGCGGAGCAGCAGCCCCTCGTGGGGCTCCAATTTCAGGTGCTCCAGCTCAAGAGAGGCGCCCTCCTCGCGGCCCGGCTGGGTGCTGAGCAGCAGATCGACCCTGGCGGGCAGGCCGGAGGCCCCCAACTGGGCAGGTTGGCCCACGTCCCCGAAGTTGAGCACTACCAGGAACCGCTCGTTCTGGTCCCACTTGCGGACGTAGGAGAAGAGGCCGGGCCCCGAGGGGAGCACGTGGAAGTCTCCGTGCAGCAGGGAGCGCTCCTTGCCGCGGTGGTCACTCAGCCGCCGGAACAGGGCAAGGAGGGAGCCTGGGTCTTCGCTCTGGCCCTGCAAGCGATGGAGACATAGCAGGAAGGGATGAAGAGCTCCCCTGGCTGCAAACTCCTACAAGCCACCGGCCCGTCCGCTGCTCAGGCCCTGCCCCCCGAAAACCCGTACCTTCACCGTCATGTTGGAGCTCACGGGTCCCGAAGTGTTGAGGGAGCTGGACTCATCCCACAGCATGACCGGGGCCTGCTGGGGCTGGAAGGCAGGGAAAACAGGACTTGGGAAAGGCTGGCCCACTCCCCGGACTCTTCCTCCTGCCCCCCACCCCCAGCAGGCCCCCCGGCCCTCACACCTAACTTCCACTGGGAGCAGCAAGGCCGGCTCCCACCTCAGGTCCTTGCACCGCCCCTCGGCCAGAGGGCTCTGCTCCCAGACAGCCACGAGCCAGCTTCCTCCCTCCCCGCAGCCTCTGCTCAGCTGTCTCACAGGGTTCCCTGTGGCCACTCAGAAGACATAGCAGGCTTCCTTCTGCGGAGCACCCACAGCACCCCCGGCCCTCTGTGCACTGCTCTGTCCTCCAGGCACGCGTGTGGGAGTCACTCCATGAGACTTCGGGAATAAGGGAATGACCGGCTCTATAAGTACCAGCTCAGGGGTCAACCTCCACGTCTGTGGCTAGAGCTCAGCTAGTGCCTTCCTGGTCTTACCCCTACCCCCACATTCACTGCCAGGCTCTTCTCTCACTCACCTGGCTCCCCACTAAACTAGGAGAGCCCAGCAGAGCACCCACTGCCCAGTGAATGAGTGAGTGAGTGAGTGACGGCTATCACACTGGACACTACCAGGTACGACAGTGCATTTTAAAGCAGCCGTCACTTTATCCGAACCGCCCTACAAGAGAGGCAGCCTCACAGACCAGATGACCGGGACCGTGAGATGTGAAACTGCCTGCCACAGCCACACAGCTACCGACCAGGTGACTGACTAGGAAACAAACGCAGCCCCCACCCCCCCACACCCCCAAGAGTCACGCCTGTCCGCGGCATCCACAGACTACCCTGGCGGATAAACACAGCTCCCCCACTGCGCCGAGAAGGCGGCACGGAATACCTGTCCGGGAAGGGCAGCTGCCTTCAGGCCGATCTCGTCCCCATAGCTGAAAACCGGGGTCCCCGGCAGGGTGAAGAGCAGCAGCTGGTAGAGTCGGAGGAGCTGAGCCGGCACGAAGGAAGTCAGGAGTCCCTTCTGAGACAGACTCCAGCTGCACCAGCGACTGTCATTTGTCAAATGCGAGCGGGTGGCGTTTAGGAACTGGGTGACCAGGAGCTCTACATGCTCCCCAGTGAAAGGGGAGGCCGACAGGTACGAGCTAGTCAACAGCAGGTCGCTGTTCGAGTCGAGCAGGCTCACGATCTCCTGGAGGTTGGAGGACTTAGTTCCCGCCAGCAAGAGCCTGCAGAGAGCAAAGCCGGGGTCAAGGGCGGTACAGGACAAGGAAGGAAGCGAGGAAGGCGTGTGAACTAGGAATTCCCCCTTCCCAGGGCCTAGCACCCCACTGAGGGGACCCCCGACGGAGCTAAGTTGGGGACAAGGGGCCTGGCACTCACCTGTCTTCACCGAAGCTCTTGGTGATGTTCTGCCACTCGGCCAACAATAAAGGCGCATTCTAGAAGGCAAAAAGCAGAGGCAGCTACCACCCGGCCCTGGCGAGTCCCGCGGCTCTCATCAGGCGAGGCTGCACCTCTCGTGTAAAGGAAACTCACCTTCAGGTTCTCCACGTCCCGAACCTGGAACCCATCCACGCCGGCCTGCAGCCAGAATCTCAGCGCATCCTACGGGCGGGGGAAGGACGGAGGAAAGATAGTGACACTGACGCCGAGGCTCACAAACTCCCGCCCCACGGACCCTGCCTGCCAGGTGCTTCCTCATGTTCCCACCTCCACTAGAAAGGCTTAGCCCTTGCTCCCTCCCATTCTAACCGACCATCGATTCTCTTAGTGATACAGCATCTCATTTCTCTTCTCCAGCCATGGCTTCACCTTTGAGGAGGCCCAAGAGAGAAACTGTGTTCATAACCATAACTTCACTTAATACTTAGCGTGTGTGCAATGCTGGTGGACCCATTTCAGAGACGGGGAAAGAGTCTCAAAGAAGCAGGGGGCATGCCCAAGGCTCAATAAGCAAGTAGCAGAGGCGGGACTCAAACAGCAGTCAAAATCCCACAAAATCCCAAGACAAATGTACCGACGCCTCTCCCAGTGTCCTGAGGCCTAGGAGTGGTGCAAAGGGCTGTCAGGGCAGAGCTGCGAGGGCAGAGCTGTCAGGGCAGAGCTGCGAGGGCAGAGCTGTCAGGACAACCCGAGGATGAAAGACTGAAATGCAAAGATCCCCCCCGGGCAGTTTCCATGAAGATTTGGGATGAGGAGCCGGTTCTGCAGGACAGGCCCAGGCCTGAAGCCCTGGCGTGTGAGGCCCAGAACACAAGCCCCATTGCCACTGCCCGTCTTCCCTTTCCTCTCTGCTCCACGTGCTCCCTCCTCTGCCTCCATTTTCTCCTGAGGCTACCATCTTCAGCTCCTCACCATCCGAAAGCTTCCCTATCAGTAACGCTTACAGGGTCTCCCAGCAACTCGCTGGCGGGTGAACGGGAGGACTCCAAGGTCCTACAGAAACGCTGGGAGAACAGATCCTACCCCAGAGTCAGGGCTGCCAGCCAAGTGTGAGGGGCGCCTCCACTTCTGTTCTGCCCGTTCTGAACTGGCCGGTGTCCCAGAACCAGAACGCAGGCATTAGGAGCCTGGGTGACACTCACAGCCCCTCCCCCAGCCTGAGGGCTATAGAGCCTGAGCCTATAGTTTCAGGGAAGGGTTAGAGAAATGAGGTTACTTGGACCTCAAGTCCCAGGCGCAAGGAACCCTCTGAACCTCACTGCCCCCGTGTGCAGTTTGGGGGTAATGATAGGGACCTTGTGTGGGTACAGAGGGGATTAGAAAACATCTATAAAAGACTTGGCATAGCCCTAACCGGTTTGGCTCAGTGGACAGAGCGTCAGCCTATGGACTGAAGGGTCCCAGGTTCGATTCCGATCAAGGGCATGTACCTTGGTTGGGGGCACATCCCCAGTAGGGGGTGTGCAGGAGGCAGCTGATGGATGTATCTCTCTCATCTATGTTTCTAACTCTCTATCCCTCTCCCTTCCTCCCTGTAAAAAATCAATAAAATCTATTTTTTAAAAAATACTTGGCACAGTCTCAGTCACAGGAAGATCCCCACGCTTGTAATTTCAGACGGGGCTGCACTTCAAAACATCAAACAAGGACGGGGAAGCCAGTCCGGACAGACTCCCACTGAGACGCGTTCCTGAAGCTCCCTTCCGGGCACAGTCACCATCAGAGTTGAGGAAACAGGAAAATGAGCGGACAAAAAGGAACAAGCTAAGACGGGTGCACGGCTGGCCTCCGTTGGGGGAGCGCGCCTGCTGGGCTGCAGCAGCCGGGGCCCCTGGCGGGAGGGGGCTGGGTTTACTACAGGGGCTGCCGTGCCTGCAAGGACCCCCCACCCGCCATCGGCACCCGCACACTCACCGTGATCTTGGTGGCCGCAGCGTCCATCTGCGCGGGGAGGAACCATGAGTCCTGGCCCCTGTAGTTGGGGGTGAGGTCCAGAAGGACCTGGATGCCTGGGACAGGGGGAGAAGCAGGTGTTGAGAAAGGCTTTGGGGAGGGGAGAAAGGAGGAAATCAACACATGCGGTCCATAGAGTAACTCCTTGGCATTACTTGCTACAAAAGCTTAGGTTTGAACCCTGGCAAATCTCAGTCCATTGAAACAGAGACACGAGCAAGAAGGGGCCTTGAAATCTCATAGGGCAGCAGGTTAACAGTGTGAACTGAGAAGGCTGAGCGATAGGGGCCTGGGCTTCCCGCCCCAAGGTGAACCCTTTTAAAGCAAGACAAGATTTTATCTGGATTTTCATTCCAAGTTTAAAAACCACCAACTTAGTAAAAGCCCTTTTTGAAAACAATGGCACTGAAAGGTCTGCACAGTCAAGTGGAAAGTCCCTGAACAAATCCCTTTAGGCCGAGGCCTCACCCACTCCTCTGTCCCTGCTGGGAAGCTCAGAGGCAGCCAGGAGCGAGGCAGACAAACCCTCCCCTGCCTTCCCCGGCCAGAAGGCCAAGCCCTTGCTCGCTGCTCCCTTGCCAGGACCGGGACCCCCAGAGGCACCCACCCTTTTTCTTGGCCGACTGCAGGAGACCCTCGAAATCTTCCTTGGAGCCAAAAGCGGGGTCGATCTCCTCCAAGTTGGTCCCATGGACGTCGTCTCTCTGGGTTTTGTGAATGGGGCCCAGCACGAGGCCCTTCACCTTCAGGGAGCTCAGGTGATCCAGGCGCCCCTTCAGGCCTGCAAAGGGGAGGGAAGAGGCCCCGGGGGCGGGTCGGAGACGATCCCCTCCCCCGACCCCCTCCCCCGGGGCTCCGTGCGGAGGCTGAGCAGCTGATGTAAGGGGCCTAGCACGTTGCTTCAGACCCCGTGGCTACACGAGGAAGGGAAGAGGCTGAGTCAACTACCCTCGTGAAAGAGGGAGGGAGGGAGGGAAAGGGGAAACTCTTTGAAGAAGGGCAGGAGGCGCTACGTCCCAGGCAGCGGCCGCGACCGGGTGGGGTGGAGAACCGTCCGAGTCCAGGGGGGTTGGGGTGGGGATGGGGGTGGAGGTGGAGGTGGGGCCCCAGCGGCTCACCGGTTAAGCCGGGGGCGCTCGGGTCGGGGGCGGGGTGCACGGCTCACCTGCTAGGCCGCCCGCGCCGGGGCCCTGGAAGGCCTGCGGGTCGCCGACGCGGTAGAGGGGCCCCTTGTGCCACCAGGACTGCGCGGGCAGGTCGCGGCAGCGCGGCGCGCGCACGATGATGACCACGGCGCCCGCCAGCATGCCCAGCCAGCCGAGCCAGAAGAGCAGCAGCAGCGCCCAGCGGGTGCGCACCCAGCCGGGGCTGCCCGCCACCTTCAGCAGCTCCTCCTTGGACAGGCCCGTGAACTTGGCGGCCGCCGCCTCCGCCCCGTCGTCGGCCACCTTGATCTTCACCAGGCCGTTCTTCTCGGCGCCGCCCGCCCCGACCGCGGACGCGCCCGCCCCGGAGGCCGCGTTCATCGGCTGCTTCTCGGGCTCCAGCTCGTTCAGCTCCACTTCCTTCATGTCCACCTCGGCGTCCTGGCTCATGGTGCCTGCGGGGCCGGCGACACGACGCAGCCGGCGATCAGGTGGTGGCTGCACGAGAGTCTCGACCTCCGGGACCCGGAACGCTCTCCCCGCGGCCGCCTGCTCCGAGCGCCTGACCTCGTCTGCGGCCGCGCGGCGCGACCTGGGGGAGTGGCGCCGGGAGCCCCGCCCCTGCCCGGCCCGCCCGCCTCCCCTTAAAGTGGAACCTCCCCGTGCCTTTCCCGACCACTAGCGTGCGGGGCAACGGTGCGGGAACAGGCCACCGCTGCTGCGGGGTCAGCTCCCCACCTCGAGCCCGGCTGCCCCACGGTTTCCCCAGCCGGACGCCAAGGAGCCGCCCGAGCACGAAGCCTCCCGGAGGTGGGCCGGCTGTGGTCCCCCACCCGGTCCCCGCAGGGCACCCAGCCACCCCCCAGCACACCCCGCAGCGTGCGTCCCGAGCGACTCCCCGACACCATGGAGCATATCTGCCCTGCGCGGGACTCCCGCCACCGCCTGCCTCGCCTTCCCCACCTGCGGCGGCCCTAGCGGCCCAGAGCACAACCAGCCGGCGCCCTTTCGGCGTCAGGCCTCGGCTTAGACCCCTGGGGCTCCCAGACCTCGCTCCCCCAGGGCCTACGCCCAGTCCTGCAAGACGCATCTTGACTTTTGCTCAATTAATGCACGAGGCAGCAGTTATTCATGGAACGCCCACTGCAATACTTTGCTTTGTTAACTGTATGGAATGAACTCCAGTCCAGTCTTCTCCAGGACGTTTTATGGCGACTCTGCTGGGACAGGAGGTGCTGACACTGTGGCTCACCCTCCCCTCCCCCAGTGTGTGGCGCCCCGGGGTCGGGCAGCTGGGAATTGGACATCCAGGAGAGACTGATGGGCAACCGCACATTCCAGGGCTAGGCCTCAGTTAGAGGCATCTAGATATTTCCTACAACCGACCAGATTCAGCGGTTCTCAACCTGTGGGTCGCGACCCCTTTGGCGGTCGAACAACCCTTTCACAGGGGTCGCCTAGGACCATCCTGCATATCAGATATTTACATTACGATTCATAACAGTAGCAACATTACAGTGATGAAGTAGCAACGAAAATAATTTTATGGTTGGGCCACAACATGAGGAACTGTATTTAAAGGGCCAGGAGGTTGAGAACCACTGGACCAGAAGATGCCGTGGTGAGACCCTTCCCCACCGCGCCGCCCCCCCCACCCCCCCTGCCCTGGCCTCCCCACCGCTTCCCTATGGAAGCCTGGGAGGCAGCTCTGCCCGGAGGCCTGGAAGACCACCCAGCTTTCCAACAGGCAGGTCCCCGAATGAAGGGCCAGTGAGCAGCACTGCAGGGGCTGCTGGGCAGCAGCACAGGAGGTGCCAGCACCCTCAGGACTCCTTGTTCCTGAGCAGTGCCAGCTGGGTCCTTTTCAGAGACCAGCTGAAGGAGGAGGTTCTTTCCCCTCACGTGGGCTGGAAGCCAAGGTGGCTGTGCATTTGGAAGAAAGCAGAAACCAAGATCGGAAGAAACAACAGACCAGAAGGGGAGCCAAAGGGGAGAAAGGCTCATCCTCGGCCGTCCCCTCCTTCATCCCAAAGCCCACACCCCTCCCAGGCCTGGGAAGGCCGGAACCACTTCCTAAAGGGAGGCAGCCAAGTGGGGAGAGGCTGGAGTTCAGTCCAGTGTTCAATGATGATAAGACGGCCAAGGTGCCCGGGCATGCAGTTAAGCGCCAGCCAGGGGCTCTGCCCAGACTTTGATCCCCAGCAAGAAAGCTCAAGGTTGAAAACTGTGGGCTCAGAAGCTCTCCTTGAGATGGTCCAACGTAACCCCCCAGGAACACAGTGTCTCACTCAGCCCCATGGCTCCAGACAGATAAAGCCAAGGCCTTCTGCATGGGATAAAGTAGCTAACAACTCACCTCCCGTTTATCGCCCACCACACCCACCACCGGGCTACCCTCCAGCCCCGTCAGCCTTTGAGCACCTGCCAGCTCACAGCACACGGCCTTTTCCAGGCCTCGGCATCTTTTGCTCAGGCCATTCCCTGCGTTTTGCCCTTCCTATTCTGCCAAGTTTGCCTCATAAACTCCTATTCATTCGAGACTTTGCTCAAATGACAGCGTTCCTCATCTCCCCCAAAAGAATTACTTTCCATCCACTGTGCACCTACCTCTGCTACAATTCGTGTCCCCTTTGTTCATTACATTTCCTTGTCTGAGCGTCTGTTTGCACTTCAAGACAGGTGGCAGGGACCTGGTGCTATTTGTCAATCGACCTGCCTGCTCAGAGGGAGCATAGAGCAGGCGCTTGTTTGATAAATGAGTGGATGAACTGTATCAATCAAGCCCAAATAATTCCTTTCACAGACACAATTCAACAAAAGGAGCATGTGAAGATAGAGATAAAAGTGAAAAGGAATTTAAACTGTTAATGTAAAAAACCACTGAAACCTGTAAAGATTTTTTGTGAGTTTATTTGAGCCAAACTGTCGACATATGAAGGGAAGCAGAACCTCAATGGATTGAGATAATGCTCCGGAGAAGGAGGGTTACATCTGTATTTAAACATTGCAATCAAAGGAAAGGGACGTAGGTGGGTTACATGAAATTCATTGGCAATAGATTAAGGAGGAGGGATAAAGCAAAGCAGGGGAAACCCCTGGGATTGGATAAAAAGTAAAATGATGGACACACACTTAGGTGGGTACAGGAACAATTAACATGATAATGAAGGAATTTGTCGTCTCTGTCCTGGCGCCCAGCACATTAGGTTGTGCCCCAAGGGCTCCAGAAAAAGGGAAGTTACAAGTTACCCTGACATTTCAAGGGTATAATAGATTCGAAAAGACAGATAGGCTCAGTTAAGGTAAAGGTTGACGTTGTCAGTGAAGATACTGGCCTAGGATGTAACTGCCCACCATCACTGCTTTAAAGTTTAACCCTTTGCACTCCGCTGTCCCCTCTCAGGGGACATCGGAATTCTAGCATATCACTCGGATGTCCCCTCTCAGGGGACATTGCAGTTTATTAGTGATTACGGGGAATTGAGTTATTTCAACGCAACTTTTTGAGACATGCATGTTTCCCTGAAGTTTTATCTTGAAATGGCACAAGAAATTAAATCAAAATATCGTAAAATTACTAAGATATATACAAGAAATGTCAGCGGGTTTTGTGTCGGATTAAACAATAAACTACATATTCCCGATGTGGGACAAAGAAAACGGGACTGCATTGTGTGTTCTAATAGGAAAACACCTGGTGGCAGGCGTCAAACCACTTATTACTGTCAAACATGCACTAATCAGCCTGCAATGCATATTGGGGAGTGTTACAAAACTTATCATACTGTACAAAATTATAAACAATAAAATATTGTTTTTTTTGCAAATATACATTCCTCGATGTCACCCAATTCATATAAGTCCAATATCATTATAATACGTTACTTGGTTCCAAAATTATACTAAATAATACGAGGGTCTGTAAATGCAAAGTAGCGTCGAGTAGCTGGTAGCCAATGTCCAGAATGGTTCGGAGTGCAAAGGGTTAATTTCAGATCATCCTTTGTGGTGACTTTAGGTCTCCGGGTTTGCAAGACTGCCACGCAGGCCTCCCCTGAGCTTGTCAGGTTAGCATGTGGCCCCTTTCGTCCACAAAACAATATTTATAAAGATGAAGCTGTTTGTGCGGGGGACAACAAGACTCGGAACTGTTCAGCCAAAATAAAACACAGTATAAAACACAGTCCCAAATCTGGGGGAAGGGGAGGACAGAAAAGCAACGGTGGAGAAAGAGGGCAGGAGGTGGCCCGAGAGCCTCAGATCCTACAATGTATGTTGACAAATATAAAATTTAATACAGGGATGCAAAGTATAGAAGTTGTCAAAAAGAATTTAGCTTTCAAGAGAAAATGAGACAAAGCAAAGAAAAAAAAGCAGTCCAATGGTCCAGAAGCCAATAGGACCACAGGCAGCGAGTCCTCAGCACTTCACACTCAGGCCGACAGGTGGAGGCGGGGCCCTGAAATCTTTCTAATCCTCCTGCAAAATTCATGTCATGCGTTTCCCAACAGATGAGGATTACTTGATCTTGGCCAAAACATAAGGACATTATTTTCCCCCAAAGTATAAAAAAGGATTTCCAAAGAGAGAGCGAAGATGGGAGGACAGTTAGAAACAGGAGGCTGTCTCCCCGCCCAGCAGAGGGTACTGCAACTCTGCCCAAGACCAGGACATTATCCCAAAGACCCAGGAAAGGGCATCCGGGCTCTGCCTCACACTCCCATCACCCCGAGCAGCGCCGCCATCTGAAAAAGAGGTGCTGGCTGAAGTCAAGAAACTGAGCATTTGGAAGTCAAAGTGCAGCTGAAATGAAAGCAAAGGAGGAGGCAGACCCTAACCAAAGGCACTGAGCTGGCAGCTGTTATGGGAAGAACTGGTGTTGGAATATGATTACAAATCCCGCAGGAGGGACACTGGTTCTTAAAGAAGAGAGCTGTCTTAGGGAAGGGTGAGGAATTGAGGGGGGATGAGAATCAGAAAGAGTAAAGGAAATGCAACTAAAAGCATCTCTTAGGCAAAGAGGAATAAATGCACCATCCTATATTGGACACAGGCATCCAAAATGGTTACCTGCTCCCAGAGCTTGCCAACAGGATAATTCTAAAGACACATAATGAGAATCTGGGAGCTTAGATTTCAATATAGAATCTTAGATTTCCTGAATAGGAAGTCACCGCTAGGATAGGGACGAAAGAATTATATCTGTTACATGATTATCACATCCCCAATTTCACACGTTTTCTAACCATTGTGAGTCCCCTAAAGCACATATTCCCAGAGGTGCTGCAATACCAGGCTGTGATATTGGGATATAAGAAATACAGATGCTCCTTGACTTAGGATGGGGTTACAGGCCAAGAAATCCATCGTAATTGAAAATATTGTAGGTTGAAAATGTATTTAATACAGCTAACCTACCGAACATCATAGCTTAGCCTAGCCCTTCTACTGAATTCTTACTGCTTTCACACCATTGTAAAGTCAAAAAGTCACAAGACGAACCATCCTACATTGGGAACTGTCTGTATATACATTTGGTCTTCATCCGTTTCCTGGCACAAGAGCTACGAAACCCTTGCATTTCC